GTACACAGAAAAAATAGAATTTCCCTGAGGATCATCAGGGGCTCAAGTCATGTAGAAAATTTTAGAAGCAGTTCCTTTTATGTCCATCACTGGGAAGTACTCAGTGAAGAAAGCTGCTTAGTAAGCTGTAAAATGCCAGATTCACCCGCTGTTAACTACATGTTGTACAAAATTTTGCATTCTTCCAGTCCAATATCTTTCTACCTCCAACAGAGGGATTCCGAAAAATTTATTACACTAATGGGAGCCAGATGTTTCATTCATCAAAAAATATGCAAATTATTTAAAAATAAATAATACAGCCTTATGAGCAAACTTCTACAGGCTTTTGGGGCAGAGAGTGGTTCCTGTAATGTACAGATGGTACAAAAAACTATGGCTTATTTTTTTCTAAATCTTGGTGTGAATGAAAAGAAATAACCACATGATGGCAGCAGAATACAGAACATGAGGAAGGATCTGGTACGACTTTCATGACCAAATATGTGAATTTGGAGGAGTGTTGCCTTCAAATGTCATTCAAGGAGCAGCACCAAGAACAAAGCCACAACCACGAATGGGTAATTGGGAAAGTTTGATGTAGTAGTTCACAAAGGACATTGCTGTATGCCATTAAGGACAAACAGATCTGAGAAGCAGAGTATCTGCAAGTAGAATACAGCACCTCTTAAGCAACTCCATATGAAACCCACATAAGCTAGTAAACCAAATGCTCTTCAGCATTGAATGAAATCAGAGCTACACTTGTTTAATCTCATCTCATCATTGGCTAATCAAATTACACACATCACATTATGTATTATTACATAACTAGGAATACTTTTGTTACTAGCATACATACGAAGAAAATAGTACTGAAGAAGACAAATATTCAATAAAGAGATAGAGAAACCCTCATAGTTTTGAGCTGTTCTTTATGGACACATGGGAACAAACATATCATTCTATCACTGCTTGCTATTATCTCTTTTCCTCCTTTGTCTCTGCTTAGTATGCTTAACTTTACTCTTCATTTAGCTCTCCCTGTCATATTACTTCTGGAGCCTTAGGCAGTGTGTTTAATTGCTACAGCCTATCACTCAATCAGGCCTATTCTTCTAGATAGTATCCTAATCTTGTCACCATATATGTTACTTTCAAAAAAAAAAACAAAACAAAAAACACGTCAATTTGCCATCAGACATTTGGATGTTACAAAATTGTTTTGTAAGATTAGTGTAAGTTCAGTGAGATTTGAGACATATGAAGTAGTTCCTCATGTTCTCATTGCCACTTGTCCTCTACCTTGTGCCCTCTACACCACCTGCACCTCTAGCTGATCCAATCTTTTCAAGACTGAGAGCTCTCCCCCAGAAAGTTAACAGTAGAGGAGGCTATCAGCTATCACAAAATGTGGGGCTTTCTTTCCTTCCTTCTTCAATCTTAGATTTGAGTAATCTCATTTGGTATCACCTGCCACTGTGAATCACAACACTGCTCACTTGCATATGCCTTCAGGTGATGCACAAGTGCCAAATTGCCAGTTGCCTTGAATTCACAAGACAGCTTTAGGACAGAGCAATTAAAAACGATCAGGAGAGTATTTTTTACACGATGTGCAAGCAAAGTGTCAAACTCTCTCCTAGGGCACAAATGGGTAAGCACCATTTTTTTTCCTCTCAAACACAGCTTGTTTTCTTGAACAGGCTCATACGATTTATAGATCCCAACTACCTCAACAGCTTTGAGAATAAAGTTGGCTTAACCTCTTCTCCCTTATCAATATGTATTCTAAAGGTTGCCTTTGAAAGTTGTTTGTGATTGAGGAGCACTGGTTAAAATAAGAGATATGGCAGTTTAAAAAGCAATTATTGGCAGGATTCCCATACAGAATATCTATGACAATATTTTCTAAGGTACTCATGTGAAGGATACTGCAATAATTTTTATTAATAATGGGATTTTTCTCTTCTGTAGAGAGAGGTTTTCTAGCAACTTTTTTTTCTTTTTTTTCCTGAGGCAGCAGGCTAGGGTTGGAGTAGGGACTATTTTCCATTAGCAAAGTACATGGAGTTTTCAGAAGTTTCATTAACTAGCTTCAGCAGCTATGAAAGTGTAGATTCAAATGGTTATTGGGCCTGTTATATTGCACTGCAAATCTCACAAAACGTTGCCTCCAATCTGTATGATAGAGAAATTACTTCCAGATGTCACATATCTAACTTATAATCAAAGAACCCACCTCAGGTGAACCCATAGCACTTAGGTCTACTTTGCAGTGTGTTTTAATTGTTTTGTATATTATAAAAATTTGCTGCTAACTAGAGCAATCAATCAACTTCTGCATAAGAGACAAATAAATTTGCAACACTGAGATATAGAAATGTACAACATAGATTTCTATTGGAAAAAATAAGTTATTTATGAAGTTCAACTCTAGGCTGTTTATGAGTACAGCGGATATTGTCTCAATACCTAAATATTTTCTTTTAATGAGGGACATTTTTGTTAAGAGGAAGTTTATAAGTATATCCAATACAGAGATGTTTGCTCACTAATGCTTATAATTTTCAAATGGTCTGTTCATATGTCTAAGTAGATAATTAATAAAAGATGAATAGCATAATATCAAAAGACATCTGTGTTAGCTGCAGAAATATAATGAAGGCAATTTAGTAAGTTTCAGAACAAAACCCACAAATATTTTCTCAGTTCAAAAGACCCAAATGAATCTTCAATAAGAATCTTCTTAACTCAGTGCAGTGATTTGCACATATGGTACTTTCTACCCACAAACTTCTTAAAATACTCCTTAGGGACATGGATTGTACTACAGGTGTATTTTAAAATGTCATCATAAACAGTAGGATAAACATCTCATCAGCCAAATGGAATAGTGAACAAAAGGGTCCTTAGTTCACAGAATGATTTAAGCATCCTATTTGAAAGGGCACATCTTTGGTTGTGAAAACATGTGAGTCAAGGATAAGTGACCTGTGGCAGGGGTTGCCTGTAATCATGGTGCTGCAAACTACAACTGTCAATTTGTACAAAGGGCCCACTCCCATTTCTGGAAAACTTGGTGAAAGATAAATCCTTTGCTTATTCTTGTAATGGTCTAGACCAATCCAATTGTTTGAAGAGATACTTACTAAAAGAGCCATTAATGGATAAGAAACTGAGTGTTACAAATGTATGTTGGGAATTACTGTTTATTCTGAATTGTAACACAGAAACAGACAACGACACTATGAAATTAAGAGGTAGCATATTTGAAAGGAGTGAAAGTGAGTACTTCCTCTTGGCACCCAAAATTGGACATACTGTTCAAGAAAACACTGAAGGGAATAAAATGCAAGAGTTAACAAGAAGCTGTATACACATGCAGATAGCAAAAATTTCTGAGTTATAATTGCTATTGCTAAAATTACTTTCCAGAAGAGGTTTTAAAACACGTTTCAGGGCTCAGACCAATATCTTACTAATAAGTAACCTGATGAAGCTTAATTTATAGGAGCAGATTATTCTTTGGAAGTGTCTAGAATCCTTCTGTAAAAACAGTAGATGGAAAATCTACTTACTGAGTCTTACTGAGTATGGGAGCTGTCAAATAAGAACTATTTGTAAACTTGCTCATTGCTTCACAGTGACATTTCTCCATCAGAGACATTTTGATAGAGATTTCTTCCAGCTGCAAGAGAAGAGATAACAATCTTTGGGAGTTAGTCCAAGGTTAATTCAATTATGACTTTACTAATGTATAATTTTGGGGGTGTGGATCTTGGGACAGGATGGATACCCTTTGTAGAAATAACTTGAGAAGTTCTGACTCACATTGTTGTCATGAGTCACAGTAGCACTGGCAAAAATAACTAATTCTTTGGTAGTTAACTTCACTACTTTTATACAAAAGTGATAGAAATATGATAAAACTCATGGAAATAACTCTAGAATATAAATAGTGTTTCCATGCAATTGTAATATTCTATGCAATTTAATGGCACAAACTGATTTTTTTTTAAGAAGTTAATCTCAGGCTATTATTTAGAATAAATAAAATATGCTCTGTGGGCCCTTCTATGAATCTATTTATGTTGGCATATTTCCTTCTGGGCACGAAGGGTCCACTGATTTTGTGTAAATGCTTTCAAAATCAAATGTGGGTTGGATTTTTTTTTTTAACTATTAAATTTTTGGTTTATTTGTTTGTTGCTGGTTTTTGATTGTTTCAGGTCATTTTTTTTAAATTTCATTTTAAAATTAACCTAACAGTATAATCATTTTATTTTATTTTGTAAATAACTCAGAGAACTAGGCATAGTAATGTAGAGGAGGGAGTGCAGTGTAAGCTTTAATAAGATGTAATGTGATGACTGCATTTGCATTAGCTGGTGATGAATTTAGAAACTCCTTAAAGAACATACAGTTACTCAAGAGAAAGAAAAATGTATCTGCAGTGCTGGGAAATCACTCCTGCATAATCAGAGAAAGTTCAATTCGTACCCATCCCACCTGCTCATAGGACTGCTAAAATGGCATTAAAATCCCCAGCTCCCTCAGCTTATCATTTACTTTCTCATAAGTCTATAGCTCAGCAGTCTTTATAACAGTGGCTAGAACATGATATTTAAACAAGGTTTATTATATAAATACAAATCTATATTATAGAAATAAAGCTGGATCTATCTTGAATTGTTTCACATTTTACTATTGGAGAACAAATGATATTAATTTGAGTTTATTTAATGTTAACTATATTTCAGCCCAATTGAAGTGCTATTAAAATCGGATTTGGATGGTAGTAATCAGTGGAATATGTAATTGATCATCAAAGAATCAAAATAAATTGTTCAACTAGTGCTAGAAAGGGAGCTGGAAAGAGCATCAGAATAGTGAGTGAGGCACATCAGACATAAATGAGAAATTAACAAAGGTAATGAATATAATTTCTTTTCCAATCTAGCTATAAAAGAAATAATTCCAAACAGAATTTCTTAATTAGACTTGTATTTTCCCTGCAGGCCAAAATACTTGAGGGCTGAGGAAGTATCCAGCTGGATGGTCTCTGTGGCCTCGGATCAGCCTCTTTGGTTTTAATTTTTGCTTAAAGTTTTTTTTAAAAAAAAAAAAGTTAAAACTTTCAGACTGAAAAGAAAAACACATAGGTATTTCTCCAGGATGGAGGGTGGAGAAAATATTGATCAATGTCTTTGTTAATGACCTTGATGACAGGAAGGACTGCGCTCTCAATGAATTTAAATGTTTCAGATCTGCCTTAGGCTGTCAGGTCTCCAGCTTCAGTCCTGACTCTGCCTCCTAGATGGATCTTGGCCACGTGCTGCTGTAATTGCTCTCTGGATGGACCCCTTGGATACATGCTTTAGTCTTGTCACCTGACCTATTTCCAACTCCATCTCCTGGGACTGGAGCCTATGGCTGGGACTGGTACCTGGTTCACCTCCTTGTATGTCTGGGGCTGTTGAAGGATCCAGCCCTGGTTTCTGCCCCCATGTGTGGAAACTACAGGAAAATACAACTTCCAGCTCACCCACCCTCTGGGAGAAGTTGGCCCTTACTGCACACTGATGAAATAAAAAGAAAACACTAGAAAGCAAATTTAAGAAGATGTTAACAGTCACTTATACAAAACATAAAATACTGACGAAGAAAGCAGAGGGAAACAAGACTTACTTTCCTTTAGATTGTGCATCATAATAAACTATATTTTGATGGCTTCTCATTGCTGCAGAAGACAGGTGTGCAGTCCTGGAAGAGATGTACCATACAGTTTGGATTTCCTTCCGTTGGATCTCTTACTACTGAATTCAAGAGAATTGCTAGGTACAAAAATAATTTTCTCGAACTGGTATCTCCCTAGTATATTGGTATTCTCCTTAACGGCATGTCACAAAAGAGTAGCAAGTAGAACAGGAGATAAACTCTGAATAACTTGAAAAATAAATGTGTGAAACTCTGCAGCTTTTTATCTTCTTTTCTCAAAATATGATCTTTGTAGCATCTTTGACAATATCCTATTATCCTATCCAACTATTTCTTTTATAATGTTCCAGCTATAATAGAGGAGAAAATATAGAATAAGAGTTATACCTAAGGCTAGTGAAGTTTACACGAGGAAAGAAAATAGAAATGAGTTTAAAAGTATGGTTATTGTTCTTAATGTAGCCTATCAGATGTTGCTCTTTCTAGCAGAAAAAAAAAAATCCTTCTTTCAATTCCAGGCTGATGTAAGAGGAAAAACAATACATGTGATTTTCCAACTAAGGAAACTTTCTGATCTGTAAAATGTAACGCAGGTTTCCATAAATGAAGATAAAAATCCCTTTTACTGAATTTCAAAAAGTGTCTTCTTGGAGTTGTTTCAAAATGTTTATGTCACAATAAACAAAAGTGAATGGTTTTGGATTTTTGCTTGTTTGTTTTTATAAGCAAAGGGCCAATCAATCCAATGAATACATGTTTGTTCCCTATTCCTAGTGTTCTTCTTCCTCTTCAACATCCAAATGCATCCAATGTCTTTCACCGTGGTAAGTATATGACCTTTAATCTTTCTATATTGCTCTAAGATTCTCTCTACTTGCTCAACCTCTGCTCTTGTCTTTTTAAAAGCACGCACAATTTTCCGTGTCCTCACATTTTTTCAACTCAGCCCTCCTTGAAACTTTTCTTCTTTCATCTGTGACCCAGCTGAACCACCTACTTGTTTCTTCAATCTCTGTCCATGTTTGATCTGCCAGGAGTACATCAGCAAAGTTTGTAGTCTGGCTGATTGACTCACATTAGTTTTTATTTGGATCCTCCCTTTCTCTGCATGTAGGCATCTAGACAAAAAGGATAAAGTTTAGTTATAGCTATCTACTTTCCCAGAAGTGAAAAGAACCGAATGATTTTGAGATATCTAGATATCGACATATACAGCTGAAAATGGCCAAAATTGCTTTAAAATGTTGCTAGGGAAAGAAGTATTACTGGTGGCCAATGAAAAAAAAACTGTTTATATAAGCATAATTTCTTCAGGAAGCCAGGCTAAAAATGGCCATTGAATGGGGACAGTATCTGGCCATTTAAATTTATTACGTTCAACCATTTAGTAACTTAAAGTTGTGGAGACAGAGGTTACTGCGAAGGGTTACTAATCCTTGGGCTATAGATTTGCAATGTTCAGCCAGGCAATTAGAGCAGCTACCAGGAAGAGTAAAACTTTCATGCTCAGACATGAAACAGATTTACTAAAAATTGATTAACGTCATATCCTTGCTGTATTAAAGATAGATAACAAGCTTCTGGCTGCACTGTTTAAAATCTTACCAAAGAACATTCTTGCTGTCTGCAGAGCCACTATATTTCGTGTGGCATTAAACAAACAAACAAAAACTGTTCTGGTCCATAGGCTAACGTGACAGATGCCTGCAAAGTCATTCATTATGAGGCCAGATTTTCCATGGATATTAAACACTGAATATTATTTTGTTGCTAATTTGGCATAAAACAGTGATGTGATGCAGATCTTTTTTCTTTTTTCAATTGAATGAAGAAGTACAGTTCAGTCTGTGCAACATCTTAGCTGAGTATCAAATATGGGATCTTACGTAGGTCATAGCAGAGACAAGTATATGAAAGCTACTACACTAGTGAGATAGATAAAAATAGATTGAAAACAAAGGGGAAAAAATGATAGATCGAGAGAAAATTCAGTTGATCATTTCCTGTGGCAATATTTATGTAAAGTGTTGATAGATCTCAGACTTCTTAGTTTAGCAACTCATTGTGAGCAAAGAAAGTATGACACAAATTTAATTCTTCTAAGCAAATAATCTGGATTTTTCAGTGACATATCTAAATGACTACAGCTTTTTATTTGGAAAATGTATTGACATTAGAACTGAACTCAGCCAGAGATGCTTCTTGGAAGTAAGCTGAAAAGCGAACAGCCCACAGGTAGTGAGTAGATTAGCCGGACCTCCATCATAACTCTCTCAGGTGGAGAAGTTTTCAGTGAGTACCAGAGCACATGTACATTATGTTTTGTCTGTTAAATAAGAAAATCACTGTGAAATCAGAACTAAAAGTCCAAATGAGCACATTACACTTTGACCAAACAGTGGCAGTTGATTTTATGTAAACTCAGTGTACAAATAAAATCCATCTGTTTTCTCCAACGAGAAGTCTAAATAAAAGGGATGCATTTTAGGAAGAATCATAAAACTTTGCCACAAATTTTGATGGAATGTAGATAAATGTAATATGTAATAAAAATATTTTAAAATGGTAAAAATATGTCTGTATCTTTTTTTTCCCTCTACATGAGAAAAACACATTTACATACCTAGACAAAATTATGACAACCTTATCAGATAGGTGTCAAGCTCAGCAAAATGTGCACTGTAATTTCAGCATGATCATGCTTCTTAACAGGGCTTATACTTTTACGATTTTAGGATTACGAAGAGTGACTAGGAGCCTAAAGCATCTCCCATACAAAGAAAAGCTGAGGGATCTGATAGTAAGAGAGCACTAGAACAAGGTGATCAAAGAGGTCATGGAGTCTCCTTCTCTGGAGGCACTCAAAACCTGCCAGGATGCTTTCCTATGTAACATACAGGAAGCAAATTAAGAAGGGGTTTATGTCATATTTTATGCATCACTAAAGAACCCACCCAACATAAATGACCAGCAGGACCACTTTACCTCTGAGTTAATATTATTAAGGCTAATTAATTTTAGAATAAACGTCAGATTTTTTTTTTTTTGTATGTTTGTTTTTTAATCAAGCAGCAATATTTAGGACTCCTGAAAAACCACAGTTTGATGTTGAGGACAGTGGTCTTAAGTCTGTGACAAAAAAAGATTGGACAACTTAAATTGTCTCATCTTATGACTTATCCAAATTTACAGGGAAAAAAAAAAGTGAGGCCTTTTTATTCTTCGATCAGTAGATTATTTGCTGCCACAAAGAAACAGACCTGATTTAAACTTAGCCCTTGTTTTACCCAACTTAATATTTTCATTTAAGTAAGATTCTTCCCGCAGAAAAGCTTGTTTCATGAATCTGCCTGTTTAATGATAGGAATCTGCTGTGCATTCAGCTAGCAAAATGAAATATTTTGCAAATTGACATCAAGGAAGTCCTCAAGTGAGTTAGAGGGTGGATTGCATAATACGAATCTGAGATCAAGGGCCTAAGCTGTAATGGTTCTCTTCTAAGGGTGTATTTATGCTGCATCTGTGCAAAGCAGTAGAGAATGTTATTCTAGAGTAGACGGCTGCGATGCAAGAGAGGATCCTCACTGATGAATCAGAGGATGTTTTACACGTAATACAGAACCTTGCAGTTACATGAAATAAAGTTTCCCCACAGGGAGATGGAAGTATAAGAAAATAGGAGCTGCACGTACAAGACGAGCAGATAGATATCTCAGTACAGATAACTTCAGCTAACACTCAGACCTACAGGGTTTTTTTTTTTTTTTTTTTTAAAAAGTGCTTCAATGCAAACAGCAGCACAAAAAAAAAAAACAAAAAAAAACAAAAAAAAAAAAACCTGCAGTAACTATCCTTTGTGCGTAAATGCAAATACTTCCAGAGTAATACACACATCAAGCGAACAGGCTCAGATTTTACATCATTTTAGTATGTTAGAATATAAAATGGCCAAGAGCTAATACATGCCCCATTCCAAGATTCTGCCACAAGAACAGTTATATCCATGCTTTAGGCAATTCTCTTCAGCTATCACTGCAATAAGAAGTTAGCATTCTCAAAACTTGCCCACCTTTACAAGTACTTCAAGCATTTCACTCTCTTATACTAATGATGTGTTTGCTTAAATTTTTGTGGCCTAAATTTGTATACTAATGCAATGAAATATTTTCTTTGATCTGAAATAACTTTAAGGAAGACTTCCACTAACACTGTTAACACAGATAGAAAAAGTGGCTTTTTACCATTTGCGAAGATCATTCACCAAGACTGTGGCATCCTTCCTTACACAGGTCAGCAAAAATCCATACTTGCACCACATTATCATAATCTGCAGCTTTAACGAGCTATTTCCAAGAAGTTTTGAGAGAGTGAAAGTTATGAAGTGAAAACTTATCCTAGAGAGGAGTGCAAGTCTATCAAAAACATTTTCCTGAGCAGAAAGAAAACAGTAGGGCACAACAAGAACCAGAACAAAAAGTGAAGATGATGGGGCTCAGAACACTTTTGGAAGTGAGTTGGAAAGAGGACAACATGGAGGAATCAGCCTCATAACAGCTAACTGAGACCTACTTTTGCTGTGACAGGAGGTGCTAGGACACAAGGAAGCTAGCTTCTCGGCTTATTGATGCTCTCACTACACTCCCAGGAGGCATATTTGCTGATGCCTATCAGTCTGAGGAGATCCTTATACTTTCTACTTTGTAGTGGAAGTGTCACAGAACATTTATGAAGTAGGGACACTTGACGTTTATAGACCTTGAGCACGGAGCTCCTTGCTTGCATAAATGTATTCATTCCTAACCCCTTTCTGAACAAAAAGCAGGCACTGAATCATTCTCATCCAAATGTCACTGAACTTCTCCTGGTTTAGGCTGCTGGCAGTTCAGCTCTCAGAGCCAGTGTCCAGGGACATGGTTATAATAAATTTGATGGAAATAACATTGCCGCTTGATTGACACAGACAGTGACAGCAGGTATCAAGCTCAAGGTCCATATGACTGCTTAGTGCAAGCTCAAATCCTCAAAAGCTAAATACTACCAGATTAAAGAAAAGATCCTGTGCTTTTGACTGCTCTCAATGTTCATTTCTGTTAAGTCTGTATTTTCTTTTTAAAAACAATTTATTGCTGGGGCTAAATATTAAATTCAGTCTCCTGCTGACAGATTCTGTCTAGCTACAGTGATTTTGTGGGGAAAGAAAACAACATGGAAAGACATGGACATTTCAGCTGTATCTGTAGCACATCACCAATTTTATTTTGGGTAAAGCAATGGCTAAACTTCTGTGAGTAGTAAACTGTCACTAATGCTTCTGGGTACTACAGTAAGTTCTGATACTCTATATAATGATGTCAATTTGCAGAATTGCATCCTCTGTAAACCAATACAAGTTAAAAAAATCTCAGTGCTAGCCAGGAAGATCAGCGTCTTTAGCATAAAAATGTCACTAGCTTTTTTTTTTTTTTTTGTATTAATAACCCACAGTATGTAAAGCAATCACTCAGTTTTGGTGCAGTAGAACTGAAATAGTCCCATAAATCAGAACCAAATTACACACATTTAGAATAAAAGTTGTTCTGTTTATCAAGTAGCTTGATAACTTGCTTCTTATGCCAATGTTTAGACACTTCTCAGGGAATTTTGTGGGAATCAATAAACTAAGATGACGTGTGCATGACATCTATGAATCCAAATACCAGACTGATCTCTAGACAGCCAGCCATAAGCTCTGTGTAAGAGAGGTGTGACATGATCTGACAAATTTGGCCAGACTTCAGAGGTTTAAATAGCACTACTGGCTTTCCAGCACTACTGTAATGTTTGACTTGGTGAGCTGACAACTTACCTTTTGAACATCCACTGTTCATAACACTTCTCCTAAATTATAAGATTTTGGGGACAGGAATCTTCTGTTAATTCTGCATTTACACAGCAGCGAGCTGTAAATGAAGAAGAGCTTGTAGATAAACTAATTCATTAAGTGATAACCTCATAAATCTTGTCCCTGTTAAAACTCTTGCAAGGCTTTCCAGTTCTGTTATTTGTTTTGAATCCCCAATTACAGCTACACATTTCAAATAAATAGAAGATTTCTCACTTGTATAACAGAATCCTATGCAGCTGTGACAATTTTTTGTCAACCTACAACACGGACATCTACATCTGAGCCTTCTGTCCCGAAGTACTTTGAAAATCATTAGAGAAATATATACATTTCTAAGGTATTTTAAGCAGATATCTAAAAAAAGTTAGCTTCCCTAAAAAGGTATTTCTTCTCAATGATAGGATAAAGGTATAATGAAGCAAATATCTCAGACACATGCATCTGAATTTTGAATATCTAATGTTAAAGGAAAAGCTCACTCAGTTTGCCTTAGACCTTTATTTGCAAAGTAGTTGCTTCATGACTTGCTTTAAAAATGTTTGCTTATTTAAGCTTAGAGCTCTGCATTTGTCCTTACTGAATTGCATCCAATTTATTTAAATTATTTCCCTAATTTGCCAAGATCTTTTAAAGTCTGTCCTCACATATATTTACAGACCGTCATAGCTTGATGTCATTGGAAATTTAATAAGCACACTACACTATTTAATCATTGACTACCTACCCAATGATTCAAGTCACTAATGAGAACATGATGAGAACCGGGCACAAGACTGATCTCGGCAGAACACTACTCAATACATAATGCTACCCAACAAAGAACTGTTAATGACTAAGCATGGTTTCCTAATCATTTGTGCAACTGTTCAACAACTCTGTGAATTATTTTTTTATAAGAAAAGGTCACACAAAATGGTTCAAAGCCAATTGTGAAATCTAGATATTATCCTATACATTCAGTACTTCTTAACAGCAAGGAAGAAAACTTAGAAGATTTGTTTCTGACAAATCTATATTGGTTGTTGTTCATTATATAGCAATTTTTCTGAATATTTTTTTAATGAAAATGTATATTTTCATTTTTTTATTGCCAAAATTAAAATTAAGATAATTGCTCCACCTCCCTTAAAAATAAACATTCTATTTGCCCCTTTTCTTTCACGATCTTACTCCAGATTGAGTAGAACTCTCTATTTGAGCAGCCTTCTAGATTGTTTTTATGCAAACATTGAGAAGAAAAAGGAACTACTTGTACATCCTCAGAACATTCCCTGATGGAGAACCAAACAGCACAGAAATAAAAAGCAGTATCCTCAGTCTCGCATAGACATTTCAAGGTAAGCCTGTTCTTTGATAATTGGAAGATAAATTTTATGAGTTTCAGAAAACTTTAAAGAGTTTAATTCAGTAGTGTCTACTTAGTTCTTCTAACGTGTGTTTTTGTCCCTTTATCAGCCTACTCTAAAACATACATTCACTATGCCAAGGAAGAATTTCAATTTTATAATGTCTGATAAACTCCTCTTTTACTGATGTTAAACACTGTAAATCTTGTACTTTCTCTTCATTATACTATTCAGTTGAATGCTTATGGCAGTATATTGGTGTTTTAATACCTCACATTTTTCTATTTGCCATTCTAAAGAAATAAGTTTATATATACAGAGCAATTGATTTTTATTCACCTTGGAAAGGCAGCATAAACTGAGTGAAAGTTCACACGGAGATCAACCTACAGTAGGATTTATAGAGAACGCAAAGATCCTTTTTCAACAAAAAGAAATTTAAATCAGTCCATTCCCTTATAAACTGAGGAAATGTTATAATTTGTGGTATTTATAATGCAGACATCACCTTACTATTCATGGGATGCTGATATTTTAATAATGAAACAAAGAAAAATTTCTACTCTCATCTCTGAAAAATTCTCTATGAGAGGTGGTGTTTATGACAATTCGGTCTGTGATAAAAGTACTCAAAACCATAATGAAATGACTGTTCATAGAACAGGTTCAAAGAGTTTTGAAGAGTTTTAATTCTGTCATGTTCTTAAAAAATGTGGCCATGCCTACAGATCTCAACAGCAGTGAACACTGACTCTGAAAACATTTATGTGGAACTCACACAGCCAAGGGTCATGGGCTGGACTACATGCCATGTGAGGAGAAGCTAAGGAAACTGGAGTTACTTAGCCTGGAAAAGTCTGAGAGGGGACATTACTGTTGTCTACAATTGACTAAACAGAAGAAACAGGGATATCAGAACCATAACATTACCAGATGCACAACAGGCATCAAATACCATGAGAGTTGTACTGTGATTCAAATGAAGATGAGCTCTTAGATTTTAAACACTTACAGAAGATTAATTTTTCATAGATGTCAAGTTTTTGTCGAGGCAAAAACAGTACAGTATTTTAAATAATTGTCTTTTATTTTTGATTACATATTTTGTCTAATCAGTTGAAAGTATTCTACATTTACATTTGTGTTTATTTTCCCACATGAATTTTGACTTAAGCAGATTAATATTGAACATTTTCAAGTAGTATACAGTAACTTCAATTTACAAGAAACATTGGATAAATGTTGAATCTTTTTTTCCTGAATATAATGAAAAAAGCAAGCTACAATTTAAATAACTACATTTGAAGAAGAGAGGAAATAATACAGGAATAACAGGAAATTCTGCACTGATCTTTTAAAAATTCTAAGTAATATCCCTTACAACTTGAAATCTAGCTTATAATGAATGAAATTAGTTCATATTATTCATCACTGGAATTTCAAGAGAGATACTTCTCCTTTAGTATCACTATTCTACTTTTACTTCTTCCCCTTTAGTATCACTATTCTATTTTTGGGAAAAATAATTTGACATTCATGTCAAAAAATGAATATGGAACAATTTGACAGATCTCTCTGGGAAGATGAAAGAAGCTCTATTACATGAAGAAAACAGAGACAAGGCAAAGAACAGAATTTCTGAGCAGAGGAAAAAAACAGGTGTTAATTATCCTGCAATTTCTTAGTACTATGCTTCAGCTTGCATCAGAAAAGTAAAGCTATGTACTGATCCACGCAATTCGTTAAGTGAAGTTTTTCCTCCAAGATCTGATTAGTTTAATGAGCATGTAATTTCATTCACAGTTCCATCTACCTAATAAAGGGCAAATGCATGATTGAACATCCAATGTTTAGAATAGAATCATGTTAAGTAGCAAAATTCTGTAATTTTTTTTTAATCATCTTTCATGCAAGGGGCACATGTGAAGGATGATCAGGCAGTTCAGGACAGCTCTTGGGGTTCTCTTTTACTAATTGCTGTTTAAATGTTCTTGATGAATTAATCTCATTCAGTTTTAAGTTCATGCATCCCTTTAATTTTGAAAGCAACACCTCATACAAATAGCATCTCCTACAGAAAGTAGTTTCAAAAAGTTTGGAAGAAGTCAGCTAGTGTCTGCAATGAGTCACAGAGCTGCATAGGAAGAAAGTATGCTGGTCTTAAAGTAGTTACATCATAGAGTTCATAGTGGTGCTTGACATCCCACTCAATACTGGATATGGTGGAGATGCTGATATGAGGGCCGGGTAACTGAAGCCCATAAGAAATAAGTATGAGAGTAGGCAGTGAAGACATTCTGTAGTGAGAAAAACTAACTGGAATGAACAGTTCAAGAAGAATGTTTCTGCACAGGTTCTGAGAGGCAGACAGACCACATCCAGGAGAGTTTCCAAGAGAACAGCATAGAGGCACAGGAGTAGCAGATGTGATTCAACGTGTCTGCTGCCAGAAAGGTACTATTTAGCTCTGACTACAAAATCAATTGCTTCATTAGCAACCTTACCAGAATTTTGGCCCTTCTCTCTTGAAGACAAATGCACCAGTCACCAGTCCAGCAGTCCCTGTGAACAGAGCAAAAAGACCACATATGTGGGAGTTTGGCAGAAAAAAAAAAAAAAAAAAAAAAAAAGCAAAAATATAATAGCTAATTTTAGTTTGATCAGTGTTGCCTTGGTTATAGCCAAATAAATACAAGGAAAGATGGCTGGGTGTAACAGAGCACCACTCAGCTGTGCCTCTGGCCAGAGACTGTTCCAAATGCATAGATTTACAGAACTTTTAGCAGCTCTTTCCAAAGATCTTCTAACCAAGATTAATCTCTGTAATGAATCCTTGAGAGCAGCTCGGCAGAGAAGGACCTGGGGGTCCTGATGGACGAGAGACTTAACACGAGCCAGCAGTGCACTCTGGCAGCTAGAAAGGCAAATGGGATCCTGGGCTCCATCAGGAGAGGGGTGGTCAGCAGGGACAGGGAGGTGATTGTCCCTCTCTACTCGGCTCTTGTGAGGCCCCATCTGGAGTACTGTGTCCAGGTGTGGAGCCCTCAGTACAAGAAAGACATAGAGATTTTGGAAAGGGTCCAGAGGAGGGCGACTAAGATGATCAGGGGGCTGGAGCACCTCCCCTAAGAGGACAGGCTGAGGGAGTTGGGCTTGTTCAGCCTGGAGAAGAGAAGGCTGCGGGGTGACCTCATTGCAGCCTATCAATACCTGAAGGGAACCTACACCCAGGAGGGGAGTAAACTCTTCAAAAGGGCTGACAATAGCAGGACTAGGGGAAATGGATCCAAGTTGAAGGAGGGAAGATTTAGGTTGGATGTTAGGGGGAAGTTCTTTACAAGGAGAGTGGTTAGGCCCTGGAATGGGCTGCCCAGGGAGGTTGTGGATGCCCCGTCCTTGGACGTGTTCAAGGCCAGGTCGGACGGGGTCCTGGGCAACCTGATCTAAATGTCTATGTTTGGTGGCCCTGCTAGGCAGGGGGGTTGGAACTACATGATCCTTGAGGTCCCTTCCAACCTGGGTGATTCTGTGAATATCTAGAGATGAAAAAACCTTCATTACTATTCCTATTTTTCCATCACATTTCATTCTAAGCACACATTATGTTCATTACATGTACATTATGTTCAAAAAAATCATCCTAATAAGAAATCCATACGAATTTTAAAGAGACAGAAGGAAAGTATATGAAAATAATGACTTAACCACATACAGTTAAGAGAACAAATGCTGTTCTAAACTAAAATAGATTATTAATCACAGCATAATAGAAACACTCATTTTCAAATGAAGCATTACTCACAATACCATGTATGATGGATTTTAAAAAGCAAATCTTTTTAAATAAAAGTTCACTTTTAACAATCAAAGAAACTGACAGACACCTACTTTACAACCTTGGGTGTAGTAAAAACGGGTCCCAACAGAAGGCTGTGTAAAATATTGCATCTGTAACTAGGCCAAAGACTGACTCTTTAACTGGAAATGAGCTAAGTTGTGCTACCGAACATTTCTTGGAAAAACATTTTAGATCTTTTCACTTCAAAAAACAGTTAAGCTTAGATTTTGAGAAATAAAATATTGCTTGAATTATGGGCTATTTTAAGCGGAAAAAAAGGCTAGAATAAAAAATCTGCATAATACAAATAATTGTCCTCTAGCTGAATTAAAAAAAAAAAAAAAAAAAAGCAGAGATTAAGAATTTGGGTGCCTAGAGAGCAGGAAAAAGGAAAAAAAAACAACTGCACATTCCCTACTGTACTCACTGCCACACACACACAAAAAAAAAATAGAAGGGGAAACAAATTAACATAGAGATACCTTCCAGATGCCAAATCAAGTCCCACTCTGTAGTGAGCTTCTTCCCTCTAATTTTAGCATGTGAAAGTTTAGCACTAGAGCAAGTCATTCATACTACCTCTATTGAGAATGAAAAGAGATAGGCATATTGAAAAGATAATTTATCCTATTTAACTTCGATCCCATTATGAGAAGAATTTGCTCTCCAAGGATTTTTTTTTTTTGCTGTTGTTAAATGGGATTGACTAGATGAATAGCTTAAACTGTAAGTAAATGAATGTCTCAAGTTACATGTCTGATTTTTATATAAAGTCAGATAAAAGATGCCCCACTCACATTTGAAATAACAGGATAAAGTGAGATATTTTTTGTTTAGGAAAAAACAAGTGAAATAAAAAAAACAAACAATGTTGTTATAATTCGTAACTATTTCCTGATGAATATTTTCTGTTTTATCAAGAGATTCCTTTTAAAATATAAAAAGAGAGATATCTGAACTTTGAAAACTGAAAGCTGTCTTCAAAAAAAAAAAAAAAAAAAAAATCAGTCATTAACAAAAGGATTAACTGGATATTTCATTAGCCTAATTATATTTTTTATATAGTCCTGAAAAATATGATGGAACTAATATAACTAACTGTTATGCGCAGATTTGACTTGAAGAATGAACTCTGTAAAAACATAATAAGCATTTATTATTTAGTTACTTTGGATAGGCTGAAGATATACACAAGCAAATGTCTCTTATCACACCACACAGGATGTCACCAGCAGAAGCTAATGCTATAGCTGACTGAGCTCTCCATTCAAATTAAGCATTACAGATTTGTGACAAGCTCATTCATGATTTGCACATGGGAACAAAAATATATTCAACAACTTGGCATAAGAATAAAACTCCGTTTTAGAGTTCTGTGATAATGACTTACAGATATTTTATAAAGATTTACAGACTGGGTTTAAACAGATTTCATTTGAAATAAGACCTGATACCGCATTTAATACTATTCAAATATCTCACATGCTTCTTAATTCTTTTTTCCCCTCATTCAGACAATATATTTTGAACTTTTTTTCACACCAAAATTCAAATCAAATTAATTATCAAACTCAGTTTATCTATCTTTTATATGGGAAAGCCTGCTAGTACATGTAGAATGAAGAAAAACAGAGCTGAAAGGATTCTTGAGGGATTTCTTCCTCTCTGTCTCTGTTCTACTTAATTGGTACCATGTTTGATGAAATGCTTCTGAGTTTTTGAGTATAAAACATCTATGAATGCTCCATGCTCCTCGTTTATATTAGTTGTCGCAGTTTGATTCTTAAACTTACATTTTCATTGTCAGTGAAATATTCTGATGTTTCTCTCTTACCTAGAGTATATGGTATCTTCGATGCTCATATTTGCTTGATAAATAAATATATATCAGTATCTACTTACATACTGTCAGAGTTAATGACTAGATTCCCTGGCTAGTACTAGCTTCAACACAGCTCCGCATGGAAAACATGATTACTAAGTTCTCAATAAGCATTACTGGAACATGAGGACAATAGACTCAGCTGACACAGAGAACCTGCCATACAGTTTTCAACATGGAAAAGAATTAGGGAGAGTGCAATATTATTCATTTAATCCCTGACAAGCTTTATATGCAATTGTACTTCAAAGTCTCAAAAAAAAAAAAATTCTACTAGACTGGGTTTGTAAGCCAGGTGTTGCAGAGAGTTGTTAGATTCTTTAAAATTTCATGTTTATTTCTATCTTCATGATTAATTTCTGTAACACATAAGTAAAAAAAAAAAAAAAAAAAATCAGACAATGTTAAGATACAGACTACCAACACAAGACAAATAGATTAGAGCAACTGGACATCACAATTTTACACCAGAGAGAATTACAGTGAATGTTCAGAACATCAGTTCTAAATCACAACTCTATACAAAATCCTATGGCTCAGGATCTGATTCTTTCCCAATTTTAACAGTAGGGCTGTCAAAACGTGGAAGTTACATGCATCAAATCTAGTCAATTAATGAATAATAAAAAATAAGGGATATAGAAACACATACTTCTGAGATAATTTTAGCTGAAGAAATAAAAATTAATAATAAATATCAGGAGAATGAGAAAAAGTGATTTAATTAGGGTCAGTAATTAAAATGCTAAAGGAGAACTCAAGATAGATAGATCTTTGCAAGGATCTGTGTAGCAGAAGTATTTCCTGTATCATAGATGTTCCGTATAAAATTGCCCCAAATTATATGTAAATAGCAAATGTTTCAAGACAAAGCCTACCAAAACAAGACTAGAAGATATTCAGTCCAGTATTCTCAGAAAAATAAAGCACAACTTCTGAGCAGCTGATGGAGACTTTCAAACAGCATAGGCTGGATTTGGTGCAAGCTGTGTCTGTTGATTAAATGGATTTCAAAAGTATTCGTATGAACTAAAAAAAAAAAAACAACATTTTTTCAGCTTTTGAAACATCTTTGCAAACAGTTCATTCCTCTCTTTTAAGCACTCTGAGTGAGAATAGAAACAACTTGTTTGCTCATTTTTTATTTTATTCGGTAGGATTATATCTGTGCTCTTTTTTTTCTTCTCCCATAGATAAAAATATTAATTATTCAAAGAATAATAACTATAACATCACGATTTATTAAAACCATTGTCCTAATAGGACAAAATTTAAATAAATGATTAATTAAAACCAGATATTTGGTGGAAAAAGTACAATAGAGACAAGTGAGTTGATCAAAGCAAAGCAGAAATTACAGAACTAGTGATTTTGAAGTCCAAGGCTTCTTATCTCCTGGTCACTACCGCACTGAGTCACAATACTCATTTCAGAGAGATTTGGCTAAGTGCCTGTCTTTCCCCTGGAGAAAAAAAGTTTCAAATACCTCATATACACAATGGTATTACAGAAGCCATTAAATCTGAAGAGGTAAAGTAATAATGCATAGTGTTAAGAATAACTCTAGTATGAAAGTAATTCAGTAATAATTTATAATAACAACGTACCTCACGTTTGAAATTATTAAGCAGATAAAATTTAAGGAATTGATTAGACCTGCTTATATATTTCATGAATAAAAGTGTTTCATGCTCAATCTATGACTCCTGCAAACATCTACTTCTATGAAAAACCTACTTATACTAAAATTTACCAGCCCAATCTCATAGTCATGACTGTAGAAAACATTCTCGTCACGTTTAGTTTCTAATCAACACAATTTTGTTACTCCAAACTACTCTTAAACCCTGTGTAATATATCCTCAATTGTTTCACTGGGCAGTTCATAAACTGATGCTACCTAGGCCCCTTTACAGACAATTGTTGTTACCTACTTCACTAGCAGATTCTTTACAAGCAGTCCCTGAAGCCTAGACTACAATTGGGTTTTTAAGGCCCTGGCAAGTGTGATCACAGAACTATGGTTTTGTTTTTTTACTATTTTAGAACATCATTGTATTTTGGGTAAGTTTACACATTTAAAAACCCATGATAATATACATAAAATAATTCATTGAGAAGTATACAAAATTCTGATTTAATCCACTATTAAGCCTATTCATAAAATTTCTTTTTATTCGTTAATTTAGTTTCCCAAATGCCTGAAGAGTAGAGGTATCTTGGCAAAAACAATTTAAGTCAGAACATCTGTAAATTCTGATCCTTACATTAGAAGGCTCACCTTCAACCTGCTTACATTTTAAGTACTATCTTTACCATCTGATCAGTTGAAACAGATGGAAAAAGTTTTGCTTTATAAGTAAATGGAATACAAAATGGTTTTAACTCTTTCTCTGACAGACCACAGTCACACTGACATATTTGTTTAGATTTCTTCTAGGAAAACTTGTCCTAGTATCAGAGATCAGACTAACCATTTTAATCTTTCTCCATTGAGGCAGTAAGAGCACTGATGTGAAGGCTTTTCCTGGAATTTTCTATCTTCTCCCTCACTTTTCTTCTATTTTTCTTTTCATAAGATACAGAACAATAGGAAGAACTTCTCAGTTATGGAAAGCAAAACTAGGAGAAACGTTAGAGTAATCTAAAATATCAAGAAGGTAAGTAAAATGAAAAAAAATTATAAAATAGTTTTGCAAGAAAACTCCAATGGATTCTTATGTTCATCATTTTCATTACTTGGAACAAAATAGAAAAAACTTCTTACTCTTAGAAAGAAAGCTCTGGAAATTATCCACTACAATCATCTGTGGGACTACGGTAAGAACTGAAAACATACACACTCAATTACATTTCACATATTCACTGATCTTTACATGCAATAACCTGAGAGGTCATACAAGTGACCATGTGATCAAGGAGCCAATGAGGGGAACCACCTTGCTGGATTTGTTACTAACAGACCAGGAAAAATTGATTGGGAATGGGAGGAAGAACAAAGTTAAGCTCTTTCAGTAGAGTGCAGTGATGGGACAAGGAGTGAAGGGCACAAACTGAAACACAGGGTCTTCTGCCTAAACATGTGAAAATGAAATCCATACCATGAGGGTGATTAAACAAAAGCTTAGGTTGTTTACAAAGGCTATGAAGTTTCTGTCCTTGGAGATATTCGAACCCTGAACAGATACATACCTGAAAAATCTAGTGTAGGTAACTCTGCATGAGCAGATGATTGTAGTGGATAATTTCCAGAGCTTTCCCACCTCAGACATTCTGTGATTCTTTTTAAAAATAGTCACTTAATAAAAATAGCTTATTCAAAGAAAATTATTATGGAAACTGACTACGATTATCTCTGGTTATTTAAGCACTTACATTGATTAGACAACATTTGACAATTTTCATCAAATTGTCTTCTGTACACCAACCTTTCATTTTTTCCGCTGACAAGACTCGAGTAGTAGCTAAATCCCTGGTTGAAGCCGGACTCCAATGCCCTAGAAGGCAAATTCAGACATGCATACAGAAAGTATACCACTGGAGACCATTCTCAGTGAGTAACATTTAGGTGAGGCAGAATCTGAGCCTGGCAGATTGCTCAGAAACTGGATTTGATGGGGGAAAGGAGAAACATCTTATCTCTGCTATGAGAAGATCAACCTGAATATGAAACACTAAGCTTTTTTTTCTTTAGTTACTATTTTTAAACATCTGTTATACAAGACACAAGTCGTTAAGTGACATCTCGTATGTGCAATGAAGACAATCTCATGCTTTAATCTCCAGCAAACAGTGATGGGTTTATGGCACTACCTTCCAACAAAGGCAACCCCACACAACAGGGCTCAAACCCATTCGGGGCTATTCTATGCAGGAGCACCCAGGACCGTTTTCCTCACTGAGCTGATTCTGCAAAACCTCTGTTATGAGCTGTCTGTACCACTCAGACACTGAACACCAGGGACTGTGTGGTATTTCTCAGCAGAAGTTTAGCTCCACAGTCACCAAAATATCACCCACTCTATTTTAGAAACTTGTGTCTTCTAACCTGTTCCCCTTCTGAAGAAACACCATTTGCTAATGGCAGTCACTAATGTCTCCATGTGGGCTGAGAAGACCTCTTCCTGCCAAGGAGTAATGATGGGTGGAAGACAAAAGTGAAAACAAGCTGTGGTTATTCATATTTCTCAACACAGGAATTTCAAAAATGGAGTTCTGTATTTACCATCCTGGTCTTTGAAAGTTTCCTCTCCCACCTCTTGTCACTTCTGAAACAATTACAGCTGGCTGCCTACAAGCAGCTCTGTTCCTGGGGAGTAGAATTTCTATTGGTTACATTGTATCACAAATGACACCTCTGCATTTTGCCTACTTTCTTCTCATGCTTTGACAACTTGCCATTTGATTACATTGGAATTTAGCAGAGCACACACTGCTATGCTTCTTTGCTTTGGAGCACTAGTTCAGAAAAACAAACAGGCATGAAGAAACATTAAGCTGATTTCATTCCAGTTGGGTGACTTTAGATGTTAGCAAGACACAACTCTTCCACCAAGATGGCGCATGGAATAAACAATGTAACTGTTTTGTTCTTAAGCAGCTGATCTTTCTTATTAGCAGATTTCAAGCAGTTTGAGAAGACTTACTTCCTTCTACAGAAATTAAACTGAAGCGTCTAGAAAAACAAAACCCCAAATGGATCACATCTCTAGAAAAACAAACTTTTTTAAATTCCAAGGCACAAGCATAACTGCAACAAAATGAATGGCAGAGCTATTCCCTATTAGAGTCTCCTTTGGCTTGATAAAAAGTGTGTTTCTAGTCTCTCCAAAAAGAATGTACCTCTTTCCTGATTAATAAATCATTTCCATTCTTCACAAAATATTCTGTCTTCCCATGTCAGGAGCACAACTTAACAAAGAAGAGCTGATTAAAGCTTGGACATGTAAAACATGAGCAATGCACAGCAAATCCTTTCAAAGCTGTATGCTATTATAAAGGATTGATTTCACATGGAATGGCTGAACATAGAAAAATGAACACTAGAAAATAGGATTTGATTGTTATATTCCAGAAAACTGGGTGTCACAGGCGAACTAGAAAAGAGCAATTTTTTTCTAGACAATAAAGTGACATATGAGGAGAGATCAACAAACCATCAGTTACACACAATAGCAACCAACCAAGAAAAGGAGACAAACTGAAGACATTTGGATTTTCCTGGAATTTAAGTAATGTAAAGGTCAGAAGCTAATGCAGAGGGGTGAAAAGCATGAGAGAAGACTCCAGAATGGACATAAAACTAGTGAAAAGTGTTTCTCAGGTTCCTCACACTGAGGACTTACGGAAGTCTAGCAACACAGTGAGAACAAACATGTGCAATCTAATTCAGAGATCTTTCATAATTCCCTTTGCTTTTCCATGAACTACTATAAGTAGTTCATGCTACCAGTGCTCTGGGTTACAGAACCACAGATGCCAACAAGCAGCTCACACTTACTGGATTTTGGTATCATGAAGGAATATTCCAGAGGTGCTATGCTACGGAAAGCTGCAAGTGGGATGTACAGAGAGTGGTGGTTGAAGCAAGGCTTTTGTAATTGCATGCAGCTTGTTAGATCATGGAGCTGGAGCCTCACAGGCAAGAAAAAAAATAGAGGAAGTGGGACAACAACTAAACCTATTTGAATTACTTGAATATAAATGGAAGATTAAAAGATAAGAAGAATTAAACAAATGAGGAAAAATGTCATTTTAATTTAACTAATTCTTTGTATGAAACTGGAGATAAAACAAATATCAATTATTCATTGAGAACCACATCCATTGGGTTAGATTTATTTAAATATATATATAAATATATATGGCTTTTACACATTTAAGATGTTTATTTAATGAAAATGAACCATGTGATGCACTGAGGGATTATTACTTAAAAATAGCAGCACTTTATGATGCAGAATAAAAGGCGGAATCTTAATTGTTGCTTTCATTTATATTTTATGTGTAGAAACCCCAGCATAAAAAAATTATAAGAAGCTCACTAACTAACTCAAAGTTACTCAAAGAAGTATGGTTTTCTAATTTTTTTCTAAAACTTATTCATTTATGCTATTATCTTCAGGTGAGAGCATGAAACTGCCAATTAAATTACAGCACTGCTCTGTCACATTTTGATGTTGAGAGGATTTCATGGCAACTTTTATTTTAGTCTGTTAACTATTAGAAAAATTGTACGAGTGGACATCCTGTGAAAAAGCAAACTGCTAACTTAGTACTTATCTAAAAATAAATAAATAAATAAATAAAATAAAAATAGATCATCTGCTCCTGCTGTGCCTTACAGATGGGCACAGCTCTGTAGCTTTGCAATTTAATCTTTCCCAGAGCCTTACAGGGAATTATGCAAAGAATGGCCATGTGAGCTGGTATGGCCATATCTGCACCTGGCCTTAAGAAGGCTCCTTGCAGAAATAAAAATATAACAATCTTGTAAAGCCCATAACTCCTCCAATTACATCCAGTAGCTTTAGTAAAAGTCTTTCTACCACATCCCAAATAAAGCTGCTGTACCCAATGAAAAGTTTTCCATTCCTAACCCAAATGAAATAATTATTATATGGGAATGTCAGCTAATGAGATTTCCCCCTCCCCCAGCTTTGATCATTTCTAATGGAATTATTCATTCAATATACATGCTATGTATGTAATACATTAAATTTATTTATGAATTGGCAATTATGCAGTAATGAACTTACAAAGAATGCTTAACATAGTGTCCACCAATAATGCAGGGATTATGTTCTTTGTATATGGCATATGGTGAATTTGTATAGAAACTTAAAGCATTTAGAACAGACTAATGAACTGCATTTGCATTTCATTATTTTTAATAGTAGATATTTTATAAAAACATCATCATCTAATACTCATCCAAAACATTTTTCTCCTATTTTGTGTGGTGTGCTTAAATTAGGAGATCAACTTAAATCAGCAAAAAGTCATGCTCAGACACATGCCCTGCAAAATAAAAAGAAAAGTGACAAGCCTCCCCCTGCACATTGTCACAAGTTTTTCCTTGATTTCGTTGGTGCTCACAACAGAAAATCTCAACCAAACTGTTTTTCTGTGCACTCACTGGGCTGTGATATCCACAGATCACATTAAAAGTAGAATTCCTACTTTTATAACAACAGTCACAATGGTGTGCATGTCTGCTGCCTGTAATGAATACAGTAACATGCACCCAGGGATGCAGGAATAAAATCTGCAAGAAGCAAAGATACCAGTAGTTTATGGTTCAAGAATAGTTGATCTTAGACTTCTCATGGCTAAAAACCTCTGACGTCACTGGGCAAAAGGAAACAAGGTAAAAAAGCAGCTACATATAGAACTAACATTTATGCTTGACTAGAGGCAGTGATAAAATAATAAAATTGGTTAGCTGATGAGACACCCTACAGGAATTTTTTCACAAAAACAGGAAAACACTGTTAAACTGACATTTACTCAGCAAGCCACCAACCAGAAGTGCTCGGGGCACCCCCTACACTGAAGCAAAATGCCAGAGCTGTATGATGATTAGACTTTGATAGATCCCACTGACGTCCCAAAGGCCCTTCTGTTTCTATTTTTTATTTCTTTCATCTGATCTTCATCCATAGTTTGACAAACTATTTTTAAGTGCCCGTTTTCTTTGTGATCTGTATATTCCAGGCTCACAATACAAATTAACTCAACATCTTAACCTGATCACTGACGCAGTTACTTGTTGTTTACCTGGCACCATAATCTGAAATCCAGTCAGTTTAGGAACCTAGAAGTAGTGACAAAATCTAATTACTTTAAAAATACGGACAAACATAATCCTACAGCCAAGATCACCCACAATTCACATGCTTTTAAGTCACATTCTACTATTATCTTCATTTTTTTTACTCTCTGAATTATGCTCCACAAAGTAAAAGATATATAAAAATAATAACCATAAAGTTTTTGTGTGGAAGAATTCTGCGCTGCTCAGAAAAGAGCTCAGAAAAAATATCCCACTGAATGGCCCTCAACAGCAAAGGCAGACAGCACACGTGCAAAAGGTAGGTGATCACCATCACAATCATAAAGATGGTGGGGGGAAATAGGAAAATGGGAGAAAATTTCTCAAAACCAAAATTAATGTATGGGTATTCCAAATCAGCACAAATATAATCAGCCAATTACACAATTTTTTCATCATTAAAGAGCAGAAAATACTAGCGAAGAAGGTTAATTTATCTGCACATGCAGAATTCAGCTGCTCAGGCACAAATTTAGTGCCTTTTCAGCCACTTCACCATACCCAACTAGAGCAAAGTAGGTACAACAAGCACTTCTGATCTCATCAGTATTCAGAATCCTATTTTGCCTGTTAGTCAGAGGAGAAATTGGAAAGGGGACAGGAACTCAGTTTGAGACAAATAAATGAAAGCTTCTCTATACATTTTGTTACAATATAGGTCTGCTACCTACTAAGGCTAACATAGACTTAACTGACTAACTTGAAATATTACTGTTTTATCTTACATTTGCATCGTAAAATGAGATTTGAAACTCTGTTCGTTCCTAGAAACTGTCCACAAAGACTAGAAACCATTTTATTGATTTTTTTTTTAAATTAAACTTACAGACATTTTGTTTGATGGAATATAAGAATAGCTCTGATTTCAAGTTGTTTCACATTTTGTGAGTTAATTTAGGAGAGCCAATCTTCTGCTAAAGGGAGACTGACATTTAAAAAAGAAAAAACAACTAATGTTGATCTGTAGCGTGAATTCATCTTCTTTTGTGTATTTACATTTTCCAACAGAAATTTTGCATCCTCAGAATCAAAATTATTCCTTAACAATTCCAGCTTTTTATCCATCTCTGAATATTGAAAATGAGCAATAATGCTATAATGTGATGGAAAGTACTGTGATAACATCAGGGTGGCAAGGTCTTTGGCTACAACAAATGAGAACAATCCCAAACACAGCAGCCACAGATACAGAAATGAAGGAAAAGAGCTTCTTACCTCTGGAAGGCCACCACTACAGAAGGCAAGAATCTCCAGCAAGATACCCTTATCTCCACTGCCAACTCATGAATAAGGTCTAGGAAGGGGTGGATCCTGACTCCACCTGTTCTGGTCACTCAGATGCACTGCATGCACCTGAGCTCCCCTGGGTTGGCCCTGCCTTCCCAACAGGTGCTCAATCACTACTTCAAGCTTTGACTTAGCATTTCCT